GCTTTGTTACAAACAGAACAAAAGCCAGCAAAATCTATGCTCCAAAATGAAGCTATCTCCTTGCTCCAACAAATTGAAGCTTTCAATTAACTTTGAGGGTTGACTCTTTCCCTCAGTCTTTAGCTGCCACAAGGGCAGTGCTGCACAGTGCATGTAGGTATAGCTACAGTATAACAGCAAAAATCTATGCCCATGCCCTCCCATCCCTTTCCATGTTGCTGCCAGCATGATGTGACAAAATTTAGAAACCTACACAACAGCCCCTTCAAAACAAAAAAGGAAACCCTTGTCACATTCTCCAATGATATGTTGGAACTGATATGGCAATTAGTTGGGGAAAATCTAACCTGGAGCCAGTGCAAATCTTAAGTTGTGCTGGTTATTCCCATAACCGTGACAAAACCTCTCTCTTTTAAAGTGAAAGGAAGAATTATTATTCCATAAAGGCTGCTGTTTTAAGAGCTGGTCAGAGTCAGAAGTCACACGGCACCAGGTTATAGTCCAACAGGTTTATTTGAAACCACAAGCTTTCGGAGCAGCCTGGTCTGGTGTGGTTTCTGACTTTGTCCATCCCAGTCCAACACCGGCATCTCCACCTCGTGGCTTTAAGAGCCGAGCGGCCTTCTGCCTTTTGGCTGCGTCCCTTTTTCCCCGAATTCATGATGACAATCCATTCTTCCCGTCTCTGCACTCGCTACACAGTTTGTCAATCTAGAAATTTGTGAATGTCGTTGTGCAACATGACGTAAGGATTGGACGCTTCGTTGTGGTGGGCGCAGTTGTAATGGCATCGACAGGACTGAATCATCATCATGTTCTTGGTGAAGGTCTCCCCATCATCGCAACGGAAGCGAACACGGACCGTCCGGGTCTGCTGGGGAGTACAACAGCGTCCATCGACACACGAACCACAGTGTTTGGTACGATATCGCTTCACACTGGCACAACCAGCATAGCTGAAGTGGACAGCGGTGGTGGATTTCTTGGTCCTGTAGCACTTCTTTCCTTTCTGCGATGGAGAGCAGTAAAAGAAATGGAAGCATAATTAGCAAAGACATGGATTTATTCAAAAATTAATGCAAAAAAAATGGCAGGATCAGCCATTCATACAGCAGCAAGGGAAGGGCAGAAGCAGACGGGTCTTACTTTCAGGCTGGGAAAGGTGGTCTGTTTGCAGGGACGAATGTCACAGAGCCTGGTCTCCTTTCGAAGCTTACAGTCAGGGTTGTCATTGGTGACCCTTGTGGAGATGCCTGTCCCACAGGTCCTGGAACACTGGGACCATTCTGTTGTCTGGACAAAGCATTTGGGACTCCAGGCTGTAAAGAAAAGTGGAACAAAGGCCATTCAGAAAAAAACATCGCAGGGAAACAACTCCGGTTTTAATCAAGTCATTTCACAAACTATTCTTCCTGATTCAGTTGTCATGCGCAAGCTTGGTTTTTGTTGGGGCTTTTGTGCCCAGTTTCTGGTTAATGTCAGCAAGAAATTGACTTGCTGCTGGGTTATTAGAAAGTATCAGCTTCCACCTGTAACCTCTGGCAGCTTTTATAAGCCTCGCCAACATTGTGAAGGAAGTGGATCTCGCATGGCGCTCAGTGATGACATAATTTCTACAGGGGCTTGTACGTTAGGATTTTCCAGCTGTTTTTAATCTAATTTCCTGAAGTGGACGATAGCTAAGAGTTCAGGAAAGGTCAAGGTTTAGCGTTTGCCGTAGCAATTGGGAATGCACGTCTTGAAAGGTCATCACTCACTTGTAACCTGCAGCAAAGCGGAAAACCAGCCCTGAGATAGATCAATGGGATATAATAAAGTTATCTTTACTGATGGTAAGCTATAACTGAGCTATGTAAGCAACAAGGCTGTTGTTATGTCCAACATTTATACCAGTGGCTCATAAGAGCAGGTGACATAGAAGAAACATGATTGGTGAAAGGGAGGGGAGGCTAGTTTTGTTTTCACATGGTGAGCTGTTGTGATTGGAGTTGGCTGAATTGCTTTTAGAAACTGATTCAATAATCAGTTGCAACTGGATAAATATTTCAAAAGAACAGGATTGAGTGGAAAGCCGAAAGATTGAGGCTAATGACCTAACTCTGTCCAAAAGCCAGTATTGGCAGGATGGCCCAAAAGGCCTTGAAGATGCTGTAACTTACCGGGTAGTCTTTTGAGGCCTCCTCGGATGAGGGAGAGTAGCTCGTTGTTGTGGAGTGGTCCACCTTGCCAAGGCTTCATCACCGTTTCTTGGCTGAAGAGGTCGTCTGTGTCCCCGGCCTCCGATCCCACCTTGTTCCCATCACAGACCCATTCCTCACAGCACTGGCCTGGCACCTTAACCAGCCGTGGGTTAGGGCAGCCCACATTGGGCAGGGAGAGCTCCTGTGGGCACAGTGGAGCACAGCCGACAGCTCCATCGATGCAGGTACACTGGTGCTTGCAATTTGGCTGAAAGATCTCCCCATTCTGATAGATTTTACTGTTGTACTCACAAGGTCTGCCCTCGGACCTCGCTGTAAAAACACAAGAAAAAACATTTTCTGTTAATTATAAAGAAAGGAACTAATTGGAGAACAGACAAGAAATCGCAAGTTTACAAAGTACATAGCTGTGGAATTTGTAAGCCACAGGTCCCCAGAGGAACACAGAGGTTGAACAATGGATTACTCAGGAATCACTTTCCCCTCAAACATCCACACACGGTGAATTAAATTCCTGACTGCTTAACTCACAAGCCTAACTGCCAATCGATGGCCAAAAAAACAATAAAACATAACCAAACATGGCTTTAAAAGATGACAAGAACTGCTTTTCATTTGAGCGAACGGCAGGAGACATCCCGAGTGGTTTTAATAAGTTCTCAATGAGCCACAGGAATCCCTTACCTCTGCAGATGCCCTGCTGAGCGATGGGGCTTGCTCCAAAGTTGCACTGTAAGCCCTTGGTGTGATCGCAAGGCTGCAGCTTGCTGCAATCCTCATTGAGCTGCTTGGTACAAACTCGGCAGCATCCACAGCTGTCCAGGGTCAGGCTGACTCCTGGGGCACAGCTGGGCACCTCCTGGGGGCACTGGCACTTCAGTGGGCAGGTTAACGTCACCTGTGGGTTCAAGACAAAAAAAATCAACAAACTCGCTCAGTCTCCAGTTCACAATAAAACCACAACATGGCGAGGCACTATGCTAATAAACCCCACTTTCCCACACACTCTGCACCCCCCCCCCCCC